CTCTTTTTCTCTCTTCATATGTAGCATCGAAAAGGCAGGGGACAAAAGCAAGGGTTTCTTTTCTCGTTTGGTATTGGCGATGGGGTTGTGTCATTTTGATTATACGGTAAGGAGCAGGCGGACCTGGAACTGGCGCCGGAGGCTGGGGATGACGTCTCGGGCTTTATGGACACGGCTCAAAGATTTCTGTTGCTAACATACTTCCTATCCGGGGTCGCGCATGGTAGTATTGGCTTCAGTCGGGCGGTATACTTGTATGAACTGTTCTTCTTGGCAGTGTGGTAGGGGTTGTCATGCCACATGGCTTGACCTACCCGTGTATGTGTAGAGGCTCAGGTCCATGAATCCAATTTTTTCAACTCATTACCTGTTCCCCAACGATGCTTTCCAGTGCTCTCCGGCTTTCAAGTGAGTGATGTACCCGTCAGATAAGACGATGTCTCCGCGATGAATTTCCTGGCCATCTAGCTCAAATCATTGCGGGATAGCATGACAGCTGTGCGGGGGTGAGGGAGAGGTACCATGCAGAGATTCACAGACCCAGACACTCCTACTCGACTTTGGATGCATGATGAAGGCTTTCTGAGCGTGACCACAGACAGTTTTGCTCGTTGTTACATGCTGGGAACGTCGGCAGCGACGTCGCGGGCCGCTTGGATGTATTCTGCTCGAATCTTGGCAATTCGGTGCAGCGTGACTCACCTCGGTGCCTGCAAAGGTTAAGTCGTCACCCTCTCAAGGTAGAGAAGGCGCGTTGAGGTAAGGGGGCCACTCTATCGGAGTAGGCATTTTCTGTAACTTACCTCTTCCTTTCTTCTTCTCTCTTCTTTCCCCTTCTTTCAACCTCGCAACCTCGTAGCAAATCTTCGCACAAACAACTTTTTGGCCATTCGCATCACGTTCCGGCATTCAAATCATGTCAACATTTTCCAAAGCCTCTATGGCTCCTTTGGAAGCTTTTATTGAGCTCAAAACAAAGCCAACACCAAGTTTGAGTTCGCTGCTCTCCGAAGGCCCATCGAAACGTTCTACGAGCAGCATCAACGAGATACCGAGAGTGTTCAGACTCTATACTATATTCCCCCAGCGTTACGGGAGACGGTCAGCAGGCTCAGCCGGGACATCAATCAAATTAGACAGGTTTTAATCACTTAGCATCTAACAAGTTCGTGTCCCCTCCAGACATTCACGAGGAAACATTCACTATCAACAACATGCAGAGAAACAAACGATTAATGGCGCAAGGCAAACTTTAATGCAGTGAAACAGTTCGGACTCCAAACAGAGCTCCATGCATCGATGAATCCCACCACCCACGGGTGCAATAGAGTGGTTGTTCCCGGCAACACCGCTGGGAAGCCTAGGACCTGGAGTATCCAATGGTCATAGGAAAGCCAAATGTGGGACATCGATTATCTGCTTATTACATGCCTTTGAGCTGGTGTTGCCTTGGTTTTTCCTGCGAATGCGCTGGAAATGATGAGTTCAAGACGACAAGTCTCTATGTGAGGAAGATCTATAGTCTCTAATAAACTTATCTATAGTACCCTTGACCTTATTACTAAAGCTACCTATCGTCATTCTACTATACCTCCCCGTATACACATACAAAAGCCTAATGTAATAGAAATAACAAGGACAGGAGGGATCCATTGAGTGTCTTTTGTGTTTTATACTCGATGGCAGTTGAAGTCAACGGATGAGCTCAATCAGATCGGTGGCCGATTGGCAACACGGGCAGGGTGTCGCACTGGGTCTGGCCATGTTCTCAGGAATTACAGATTAGTGGTCAGCCTCTCGGCTTCTTTATATGAAATCAGTCAGAGATCTAACGGAAATGGTGAAGGAGGCAATATACGGCCAGACCCAGGCATCGGTAGTTGGACTTATCGTGAATATCTGAGAGTTTACTACACTCGACGCAACAGCATATGCCCAGTAAGAATGGAGGCACACTTCCTTCGCCGTCCTCAATTCTATCGATTGTGACTCAAAGGGTACTACACAAGCCTCGCGAAGGGTTTCTCCGTGAGAATGTCTCAGTGATCAAGCATTCGACGGCTAAAGAAAACATGGAAAATTCGCCTCAACAGCTTGATCCCCGGCTGAGCTCAACAAACGAGCATCGTTATGCATTGAATTTTCGCATATTTCCTCTAGCATCAGCGGGTGACGGTAGTGGTTGGTTCTTCTCTCAATATTTCCAGCATAGAGTCGTTCTGTTTAACTTGGGATTCGAGGGGAAAGATTATTATTCTTTCTTGAATACTTCAGTTGGGTAGGGATGGGTGTATATGAAGGCTTTGACAAAGTGGCCTGGTCCGTCGTTGGGCTTGATTAGTTCAATAACGCTATGTACTCGAGCCTCGCATGTATTATGGGCATCCTACGCAATTCCAGCATTCGTAGGTATTACTGGCGTTTATATGTTCATTCTACGTGTCTAACATCCAGTTATCCTGCTCAAGTTGCGGCACCAGTGAGTGGGCAATGAACAATTTCTTGGCAGTCACTTTGATTGGAACTTGAAAACAACAATCTAGCGATTAGAATTGGCTTCGGGGAGGTAGACGAGAAGCAGAAAATAAATGCCCGGTATTCTTCACAATGGCACACGATGTCTACGAGCCCCATACCTATGAATGTTTGTCCACGGGCAAGTAATGAGGGCACCTTTACTACATAGATACTTGTTTGGAGCCACATGATCCTAATACTTCTCGGACCTATGCTGACCCCTCGGAGGAAGAATGGAGGATTCCGTCAGCCCTACGGCCTAATGTATTCCCAATAGGGTTCTGAGGTAACTCAGCCACCAAAGACATGCTCCAGGAAACCGGGTCTCCCAATCACAAGGTCTGTCCGCTACCAAGTGCTCCCTCATGTCGCTATGAGAGGTAAACGGTTCAGAAGACCTTGATAGAGGTAGCTCTCTAAGAGTGAAATATCAACATATCGCATTTTATTTAACCATGACAGTGAGTTTGATAATTGAAGATGCTACCTATTACGGCAAAACGCCAGCAACTCAAGTTCTTTGCGCCGGCAGAAGCGTCCTCACGGCTCAGGATTCCTTGTTTGAGAAGTCAACAACTCTCACGAAGTGTCAGACTCCAAATCGCAGTGTTCGACGAGTAGTATGTGGAGATAGCCGGGAGAGCAAGTCTGTATCCGTGCCTGCCCCAGTTGGGACTGTGCAACGCAGCAGAGCTGAAATCAGAGCATACCCTTCCAAGGCAAAGCAGGAGATGAGGCTCAAAGAATGGCCCCCAGTCGACCAGACGAGTCTAGCATACGCTCGAAGCCTGATAGATTCCTCCATTTCTCACGTGGGGTCTAGAATACATCTGTTGGCGCGGATAGGCCGAAAGGCCCATGTGAAGCGAAGAGTGTGTGGAATTTCGTTCGGGGGCCTCGGGGCCTTTTGTGAGCCAAGCTCCTATTGGAGGCGAGTACGAAGACACTATAGGATGTCGGCGGAAGGATTGATCGTCACAGTTACCACGGGGCATCGTGGGCATGTCTGGGCCAGCGTGTGCGTCGTCGTGTGTGCGTGTTGGGCGCGCGCGAGTATTCAGTCAGAGAGACCAAGGGGTAGAGTAAAGGAGCCAACTCTTCGACATCCAGGCCCAAAGACAAAGTCTATGAGCTTAGCCGGAAGGCTAGTCAGAGGCTTACAAACTCAGCCTTAAAATACACTTCCAATCATCTGCCGGAGCCTGGCGCTCCTCCACGCGGGCCATATTAGGCTCATAACCGATAGCCAATTTGGAATAGATGCATATTTCCCAGCCCCAAAGCAGTTATGACTGATTCGTCGCCACGCACGAAGGAAGGCAGTATGTTTCGTGTATTCAAGATTGCTCGAGGGTGAAGTAGACGAAGGTTGGGCGGAGATGGTTGTGTCATCGACAGCGGCAGCGATGATGGGCCTGCAGCTACCTACCTTGAGTGATGTAAACTCCGCCGCACTTTCCGTCGTGGATACAAGACATTGGCAACTTGTGCCTGCGTATTGGGGTCCAAAACGAACGGACCACGAGAACGTGTGACACAAGAGATGGAAGTAAAGTTAAGGATAGCGGACGCTATTCGCCAGCCCTACGAGCTTACGTCTCACTTTCCGTGACAAGTCCAACGGGCCCGGCTCACTTTCGTCCTCGTCGAATGAGTAGAGGAGGAAACGATGCCTTGTGTCCCGCCTCAAGTCTGCTGCCTGATATGCGCAAGGCGGCTACGTCGTTCATTGGGCTGCACTGTACCAAGAGACAAACTGTAGGTGCACCTCGAGTTCTCTAGATATCAATCTACAGTAGTGAGTGTCTTGCTAATTAATGGGCAATTATGAATCAATTCGACGGAGAGCCCACTAGTGAGTCAACCGCAAGCTTTTTCTCAAGGAACGAAATAGCATCCACTGCATTGAGGCAATATGGTAGGTAGATGGGTTCAAGGCCAGCTGTAGTTGACCATGAGACAAGTATCTGTAGTCCGCCAATACGGTACTAATCGAGCTAGTACGAAAACGGGCACCGTCTTCTCGAGTCACACAAAACGGTATGGGTTCCAAGGTTCCGAGGAAGGCGCAGTGCGGGTGCAGGTTCACTTGCAGTTGCAGGTCAGGTAGCGCACGGTGCAGGTGAGGTGCAGAGCGGGTGCGGGTGGGTGTGAGGTGGAGCGGAGAAGCAATGGAAGGTAAGTACGTATTGGATCCGTACTTCGTCCGGAAAGTGAGAGACAGAATAGTGCAGGGGTCGTTACGTCCAGTCCTTTTCTGTACCTTAGCTCATTGCAGTCCAGACCCCAGTCTTCCGCCTTTTCACCACCAAAGCTCGACGAGGCACACCAAAATCTGGCGGGAATTGGCGGTGGCTCGTCCTCGTCAAATTTCGGATGGGGGAAAAGATTGCCGCGACCTAATTGGCTAACATGCCGTTTGTCCGGACACAGCGAGTTGAACCCAACCCCCCCCTCTGCAGTCGTACCTGAGGTTCCTCACCATGGCCTCATATTCCATACCTCGTCATTTCGTACAAACTCGGCTCTATACTACATCACACCTCACGGATTACGGATACAACTCATTCTCGCCATTGTATCTTGCCTTGCCTTGCCGTGCCTTGCCGTGCCTTGCCCTACTTACAAATTGCCTACGTATGCCCGGTGGCATAGGTATGATGGTGCCATCAATGTCCTTTCTCGGTACGCCGTTGAAGCTCACTTTATTACAAATTGGGCCATGCAGTCAGTCAATAGGTATCAGCAGTTGTCTGGATCAGTGGATGCCCGCCCATACGGCTACAACGTGCTGGGGTCCATCGTCATGTTCTCCCTGCCCTTGTGTCACCGGCCATCACTGACTGCCTAGATCTTTTGTTGCCCATGACTCCATGAGAGGCGGCCGCTCGACGACGTTGCACGCGCAGACAAGACGATACACGCGATTGGTCATATCGCACTAACATACGGATACCCGTACGCAGATGCCTTGCCCGACTGTCTTGACAGACATGGATACAGATTAGGACGCGATTGCATTCATCGATACCCATACGCACCTAAACCCCAATTACAGTACCGGCGCAATGGCCCTGCGCGTCCCGCACTAGTGGCCGATTTTCTTTGCGATCGGGGGCCATGAACGACAAATGACAACGGCATGATGGGTCCCCTTTCGCCGCACAGCCGCCCAAAGGCACAGGAAGAAACAGCCACGAGCTCGTAGCCACGTCTTGCCGGCAGCTGTCCTGGTGCGAGACGGATGCAGAGATAGAGTGATACACTCAGACATGGAGAAGAACAAGCAGATGGCCGGCACGAGTTGATTTGAGAATTAGAGAAGCACTTCAGGCTACCTCCGCCGGAGCGGCACCCATTGCCTAGTCCCGGTGTGACTCTTCAAGATACGGGCCAGCCACGTGTAGCTTATAGGCACGAACGGACGAACCGCATCGGGGTTCCGAGTCCTGCACCATTTTTATCATGTTTTTGATAGCCAAGCCAGACCACCATCTGCCCAATGGTCTCTACACTACAAGCTCTGCATGCGTTGACAATTGCTATTACCCGTCACTCCGGAACTTGAGTGCGGATCACAAGGCTTTCACAGTCACTCGCATTTGTGCCCATCGTTGTTTCACGTCCGTCCGCTGAGCCGCAGTTGTATTGCTGTTGGGGCAGGCTCGCCAACCCTGGGAAAACACCAAAAAGCCATGGCGAACGTTGCGTTTCATCTCTCTGCCGATTCACATTGTGACGACACAGGCCGGTATTAATTGGTTGAGAGGGACGATGCCTTATCAAAAGTGTTTGCCTGCACGAATCTTGGCCAGGCGAGGCGAGGCTACGAATACCTAGGTACCATCCAAATGATCCAATGCTTCCAGGTGGTCTATTGTGGCGCCACCACCACCGGCGCCGGGAGCCCCCGACGTTACAACGACTGCGTCGGTGTTTGTCCCCTGGTAAATCCAAACACCGAGTCACTAGGATGGATCAAACATCTTGTCTGATCAAACGCCGTCTTATTGATATTCCCATCAAAGGGCACGTATGGATACTACTGTTTCAATTGCTGTTTAGCCCTGGAGGCATGCTTGCCTCTCCTTTTCGTCGTTAGATGAGATGTAAATGAGCAAGAAGCCGACAAGACACGGCGTGCTCCCTTACTCTGGCTTCTCTAGACACTTAGGTTTATCAGCAAGCGGCTTGCGGGTATGCACACCTTCATGGCGAGGACACCCGCGTGTGATGCGTGGTTACATGTGTAACACCTTGGATGTCTCTGTGCGCGAAGGACATTTCGGTCGATCATCACCAATGCACCTAGGTATGTACTGGCATGAGGTGGCCATGGTGGTGTACTTCCACGGGTTCCTAGATTACAAAGCATGTGCTGTTGCTCAATCCGGCCGAGGGCTGCTGCGGGCGTTGCCGCCGAAGATACGCCCAAGAAAGCGATGACAGGTTATATGTCGCATGAATGCCCAGGAACTCCGTAGATCTTCAGGAAGACATGCATAGCAGTGCTTAGGGAAAAGTCTAGTTATCCGTACTTGCGGAGTTTAGAAGAGGCCTTGGTCGGGAGACGGGGTGAAGCAGCGGGACTCGGGGAAGCTCGGACAGCTAGGCGTGAGGTGGCAGGGTGCCAGAACAGCGGGCGGCTCTCAGATAGGCAAATTGCAGTACGGATACCTCTACGCAGTACTGAATATGTTTTTTGCCATGGGGAACGATATACCTGCCTCCCTCACCTTGGCAGCAGTGTGCCACATTCACAGCCTCCTGGAGTACCTAGGTCCTGGGCCTGCGGGGAGGATGAGGGTATTCGTGTACGTACCGTAGTAAGGTAGGTACCTAGGTAGGTACCTAGGTAGGTACCTAGGTAGGTACCTTACTTCGTACCGTCATGCAGGCAAGGCAAGGTGACCAGGTACCGCAGGTAACCAGCAAGCGAGAAAGGTTGAGGTTACACAAGCTCTTGAAGCAAACAGACCAATCAACTACGTCCCACGGCCATTCCTTCAGCCCTACGGCCCCTCGTTTTCTGGCGGCGTCACCGAAAGCTTGGCATCTGCAGTCTGCACCCAAGCTCCTTTGACCCCGCCTGATGGTCTCCTGGTCTCTCCGCCTCTTGCCTGGACCTGCTCCCATTTCCCATCTGCCTCACCCCAGTCCATGAACTTCTTCAAGCCCTGTGTAACCTGCTTCCTCCGCCTTTTCCCCTCCCTGCTTCCTCGTCATCCACCCTCCGCGTCGGCTGTGCGCGCGTAGGTACGAGTTACACCAGTCTGTTCCGTACTCTTCTGCTTCGTCGGCCCCGTTGTGTAACAATTTCGTTTGTTCCATGGAATCATTCCCTCGCTTCTCTTTACCTGTCGTTTCACACCCCCCGGGACAACACAGCAAACCCAAGCGAATCATCAGCATCACGAATGCAGTCTAAGACAGCTCGCTCCCCTGCCAGTCCACACCAGGCCCGGGGTCGACCCCGATTCCCCATTGTCTCGCCCGTTTGTCCCCCTCTTATCGAGTACCTACCTACAGGCTACACGCACAAGATTCTACGACGGGAGTCTTATGCTGCAGCAAGTTGATGCACGAACAAAAGACCTTGTATGCTCTGCGCATCATCGTCAACGAGATCAACTGTGACCAGCACGTCTCATGCTGCTTTGGGAAATTCCAATTAGATAGCTACACCGCTAGAAAGACTGAGTCTACGACATGGACGCAGGTCATGTCTTGTACGGACAGAAACGCCTTCGATTATGCCTTACAGCTGTCTCGACGGAACGGGGGTGCTGCTCCCTTTCCTCCGTGCATGCCGGCCACATAAGCCCGGATCTTCGGGGTGACTGCGGCGCGACCGGTACATCCACCGCATCATAAGCGAAGTTGAAAGCAATCAGCTATCCCAACAGTCATCCCGATATCCCAGTGGCTTATGGAAGCTAGCCCTACGGGCATCCATCTGGCAATTAAGCATCTCACTGGCGCATCGAAATGGCGGACCAGTGAGGTACATGACTGGTGGAGTTGCCATGTTCCCGCAAGCAGGTCAAGTCCAGGTCAATGGATGACTACTTTGTCATCACTGGAACTTTTGGTGTCTACTGGGCGTGGCAGACATGCTACAGCAGGAACTTGGATTTCCAGTACGGGCAGAGCATGGTAGGCGATTGTCAAGCCACGTCTGTCCCGGATTGTATGGAGCCGATACCTATGTGAACAGTCTAGGTAAGGTAGACTAAAGACAGGGTGCTCAGAGGCTGGAGTTGTATTGACATAGGCAGAAGTTTTGGTCCTTTGAGAGTCTGGGTCCTGCGACTGGTTCGTCGTGGCTTGCGGTTGAGAGAGGATTCCCATTGGCTCACACCACGAGTTACCGCATCGAGACGAGCTAACAAGTCTGCGAGATACGTTACGGTCCACGGATACGCAGCGATTACGCTGTACGCACATTTTGGCACCCCAGCCGGGCCGTTGTCGTCTGATTACCAATCGTGGAGCTTCTTAAATCCTCTCGCGGGCGCTGGGCCGTCCATAGCGCGACATGGGCAGTTCTCCAGAGCTCCCTTGCCTTGTTACTCCTGTTGTGAATGGGATAATTACGGTTAGATTAGCAGCAGGCCGAGCAGACAGCTTCGTTTCTTGTTCTCTTGAGTCTCGGGAGTGCTGATCTATTGATTACTTAAGCACGGACCACTTCACTTGAACGATCACTACGTAAAGATACTTGCTACATCGCTTGACCAAAATAGGCAAACCCTTTCCCCGGAGGAGGGGTGGTGGTTCAAACCTCGAACGATGTATAGCGACACACCCCTTGCCCTGGGTCCCTCTGGCTGTTGCTTTCAACTGGTGGCCAGGACGGGACTCCCAACACCCTGGGTTTTGGAACCGACAAGGCGAGGGTGCGGCGTATTATCCGTCATGATTCCAAGGCAATCGCAATCTGCAGACATCGTGAGTGTGACATCGCGACCCCAAGCACGGACAGACAAGAAAAAGCACAGGTATCACTGCAATCCCTTCCCTTTTCCTCCCGCTGAGGTTGTTCAAACTTTCAGTCCTGGTTGACAAGGGTTAGGGATTCCACATCATCCACTATGATGGGGTTTCCTCCCGGTGGGCTTTAATCACAATCATCCATGGGATGGCATCTCTCTACCCACAACTTTGTACGAACTATGTACGAATACCCTCAGCTTCCCTTTTACCCTTTGAGCCTCCACGAGGGGGCTCCACCCTGCACTGCAAAATATGCCCAGATCAAGAAATCAATTGGGGGCAGCCCATCCTCCAAATCCACTTTCGCGATTCACCGCCGCAACGAAACTTCACCCATGATCCAACATCGAGAGACTGGCGCTGGGTCGAGGAGATTTGCTGCTTAGCCATGACAAGCGAAGCGGAGCCTAAAGACCAAACGTCCACCGGTCGCTCCCAGGCAGCAGTATGATGGCCTTGGAAAATGCCTGTCCAGATTTTCAACGACGTGATTTTTTCAGGAACTTTTTTGCATCAACGAATATGTACCGAGGCCAGCAAACACGCCATCTCCACATTGTTCGCCTACCTTAACCTTGTATCTGATTCCTGCATGCCAGTTCTGGAATCCGATGAATTTGTGATTGGGGCAGTGATTGTGTTGCTACTATTACTTCGTCCTACTATGTGTGCTCTCCATTTGACTTGTGGCCGACCGGGCATGACGATAATGGTGTATTGCGGTGACCAAAGCAAGCAACGCAGGCAAAAGGAGGGCATAATTCCTTGCGACTCTGAGCCAAACCATTCTCGATTGTTACTATCATATGTCCCCATATTGCACCCTGCGGTTTGGCGATTTCGTGGTTTGTGGTTCACGGTTAGGTCGCGTTGCATGGCCCGCAGCAGAAACGAAAGAAACGCTGCGCTGCCCTTTCACCCCAACCCCGGACAGTGGAGGCCCCACGCAACAAATGCGAGCCGGCCAGTCGCAGCTATTCGTCCCCGGTTGCTGTGGGTCTCGGAACCCTGACGACCGTCACGACCCCCGGGGCGTCCCCCTTTCCCCCTGGCTCTCCTGCGCCCCGATCGACTCCGGAGCTTTGAAGCGGACGGGAATGGACGACTCCTACGGACTACTACGACATGCCTTACGGAGTACCTCAACTGCCCATCTCATCTGCCAATCTGCCACCTGCCATCTTGTGCCCTGTGCTGTGCTGTGCTTGTGCTTGTGGGTGTTGCCCGCTCCATGTGCCCGCTATGACCCGCTGTTGCCCCGAACCCAACGGCCTTCCGGAGACAACACCGTACCTGCTGCCAATCCCGGCGATCCTTGTTTGCCTCCCCATCTCTCTCCAAGACTTCCAACCAGCCCATATCGTATGCGTGCCCATGGTCGTATGGATGTTCAATAGCCTCAGCAACCGCGCAACCAAGGAGAATGAGGAGAAGGAGGAGAAATCGCGCACCTTGGCCCGGTCTGGACTGCCTTGGACTTCTCAGACCTACCCTTGCTCTCCCTCGAATCTGGCAGCCTAATGCTGCCTCTCTCTTTCTCTCCATCTCCATCTCCATATTCTTAGCCAAGGTAGCTCTATCCGTACCTCCCTCTCTTGGCCAAGACCCATCAACATTTTACACAGTAATGCGATGAAAAATGGTTACATCCCAGCATGCCACCCCTTCTCCGTACGCATGTGACGATGGTATACCTATACTGACCACAATGAGGCCAAGTCCCGTAAAAGAAGAAAACGGCTAGTACAATCAGCCACACCCGCGACATTTCTGCACCCTGCTGGCAAAGCAACCCCAATGTTCGGGCTTGGCAACCTACCCAGTACGGATACCAGGCTGTCCCTCACCTTGTGTGTGGACATCGTCAGAACCTAAAAAAAACACCCCCTCTTCAGATTTCCCCCAGAGCTTCAGCTGGCACATTTCTTAGCAGGTAGCCGTCTCGTGAAACATGGCCTGGTACCCAATCGTTCAATCGCCCACCCGTCGTAAACCCCCATGTCGATGAGAGCCTTGTAGCCTGTACAGATAGCCTGTAGAGGGGGACCAGCGCAGCGCCCCCTTTCCTTTCCTGGCCGGGGCCCGTGTAGCAGTGTAATCCTACTGGCCCACCGCTACAGCCTCCAAGCCCGAGAGTTCGGTGTGGTGGGCTGGGGTTCGTTCGCTGGAGGAGGATGCAGTCGTTATGCGCCCATCTGTCTGTCCCCCCCTAGGATGGATGAAGCCAATCTAGATGGCGTAGGGCTGGATATTCAGGAGAAGGCATAACATGTAGAACACCATGGTCCCTTACGGCTCGAGCTTGGCCACCTTTACGAACCTTTATCCGCAGTGCCGGGCTCAATTGATCAATGGGAAAAGAATCGTTAGCAACTGATGTTTATTGATCGTCCAAGGTTTACATTGGAGGGAGAGACCATGTTGTCGTTGAAGTTGAGTAAATTGGAGGCAGACCACAAGGCAGCTCGCAAGTTTGGCTCCTGCTTCTGCTTCAATCATGTATCTAGGTAGCCAAAGGCGACGCAAATGGAATAGGATCTCCTGCCCAAAGAGGAGAATGTGAGGACTACCGAATCGTGGACACGTTGGATTATCGTCATGACCGACAGTGCTGCGCCATCATCTCGCGCAACTACCTAGACAATGCGCACGTCTGACGGCATGGCACGGTGCGTTGTGTTTCTCGATTTGGACAGCTCTGCTCTGTTGGGAGCGAAGGTGATGACAACGTCTGCATGGCATCTTTGGTCCGCGCTGCCATGACAGGGTGACGGACCGGCCGCCGTTGGATTGCTGACAAGTGCAGATGGATAGATAAACGGCCTCTAAAGGGAGCTAGATGGCGCCCGCCTTTTTGGTGGACAAGTGCGTCCAACGGTTTTTTGCGGCGTTGTGATGCCCCTCCCTGCAAATCGAAGTCGGAAGCTACGTTGTATCGCATCGTACAGATGGAGAAGTGCAGTGCTGACAAGCTCGGCAATAGCATCGAGAAGATAAACCGTGGCTGGGGTATCAATTTGATCCTCCTTCGTCTGGCGGTCCAGTGATATCCTTCTTATTGGGCCCGGGGCTGGAGAGGACGGCAGCGACGCATAACAGGCAGCATCTAAAAGTGAGCAGCTAAATAATTAGGTCTTGTTACACTCTGGGACCTTATTTCGGAGATGGATATCGCCAAGTCAACGTGTCATGCAACGGCGGGCCACTCAGAGATGGAGATTGTGATGGTGATGGTGATGGCATACTATAGGCGTTCTCGGTGCGACAGAGGAGGGGTGGTTACTGGCGCGTAAATAAGTCGTTAGAAGCCAGGTCAGGTCAGGTCAGGTCAGGTGTGCGCTTGATGATGTCTGAACCCGACGGCCTTAACGGCGCGTCCCTGCAATAGCATCAAGCGATGGGAAATGCAGCCCTGTTGGAGCTGTACAGCAATTACAGATACTCCGTAGAGAAAATACACGTTTTGTTGGGTGCCTATTCGTACCCTCTCCTGTGGAACCCAAGTCCGAGGTCCCCACCCATTGCGAGCTTTCGACCTTGCGGCTTGCCCAGGCTGCGACGAAGATCCAGGGACAAGGGGTGTTTTGGCGATGGAGCCGGCTGGCCGGCGTAGACAGGGGTTGGGTGGTAGGGTAGGTATTGCGGGCGTCGATGGTTTCCATGGACGGGGTTATGGTATAGGTTACCGTACGATACAGGTCCAGCGAAGAGAGAGCGAGAGAAGGATGTTTGAAGGTGTGGTGATTCTTGGGAAGGGGGCCGGTCGGGGTCGGGGACGGGGTTAGGACAGAAGGGTTAGATGGGTACGAAGTACGGATACATTCCCAGTTTACTGTGCACGATGGGATGGGTCACTTCGTCCGAAGGAGCGCAGGTGAAGGTTGTATCCGCGCATCCACGGCTGAGGTAGATGGAAGAATATGCGGAGGTTTTTTGGGGGGGGGGGGGGCAAGGCAGGTACTTTGTTGTGTGACTGCAAGCAAGTACGGACGAATAGGAGGGCAGGCATCGTCTTGCTAATCGACTTTGCAAAAATAGACGTCTTACAAAGCACGTGGAAGCCTTCGTCATTTGGCCCCCTCCTGGCAGACTTTGGGGTCCTTGGAGAGGCACGGGAAGGGTAGACCGCACTACCCTAAGGTAGGCGTACGGCGTAGTTCTCAGAAGTACCTCTTCCTAGTCTACATACCACCCCTAATTACCCAGTCACCAGTAGACACACACCTACGCCTACAGACTACAGAGAGCCAGAGCCTAGAGTCACCATCGCTGGTTGGGGGCCGAGAACGAGCGTCCCAAACAAGCAGATGAAGCGCACGTTGCAGTTGCAAGTCAACATGGGGGAAGGGGAAGGCCCTGTCTCGAGATTGATAATTCATAGTTACACACACCAGAACAGCGCGGCTGTCGGCCGACCTAAAGCACCTTGCGCCCTTTCCAGCGTCCAGGATTGTTTCGACACCTTGTCCATTTTGGCCTCCTGTATCGACTATTCGTGACTGGTTCCGCTCTGAAGGATTCGCGATGTCGAGGATCCAGACCGAGGGGGTAGGATTTAGGACGACCAAGGTGATGGTGATGATGATGATGATCAAAAAGAAATTCGTACGAATTACCGGAATTCGCCAACGATAGCCGGAGCAAGACGTGGCCCCAATCTCACCAGTCTCTTTCACGACACATCACTCTATCTTATTCCCGTCTGCACGGATCAATCTGTGTCTCGACCGCTTTCTTGGATCCAAGTATCCTTGCAATGAACGATGTTGAAGTTCGGATGCTCAATACGTAGTATATCTTCACACACACACACACACCTATCTACAGGCAGGGATCCATGGAAACTCCGGACGTGGTCCATCCAGGTCTCCCATGGCGATTTGATAATGCCATATCCGAATTTGTTGTTTGCAAATAGCAAGATATCAACAAATCGTGCCAAGTACGCGCATTCAGTGTTCCGTGATACGAGTCACCTCTTGTCCACACACGTCAAATAGACCAACCGCCAGAACGTAAGTCAGCGGTAAGACGTTGACACGGGTAAGGATGCAGGAAAGACGTGACGATTTGCCGTGTGTGCCTTGCGGGCGGGACACCGCCAAAACGGCGCTGGCGCACCTCGCCCTGTGGCTTGGTAGCCGGAATAGCCTCGTCCCGCCTCTAGGCTGGAGAGACTTGGGGTTGGGTGGTGGGCTGTCCCCTTGGGCCTTGGGGTGTACCGTGTGTCCCGTCCTTGAATCCTTTTTACCTCTTTGGTGATGACGTCTCGGCAGGGGAGAGAGAGCACCCTTGGTTTTACACTACACTAGACCACAGTATGGGGTTGAAGGTTCCCTGGTCTCTGGAGTCGGGTCCGGGACTGGGGCTGGGTAGGACTCTTTCTCCAGTCAACTCACATGGGAAGATCGAATGGAAGAAATCCCATGGATTCTCCACCCTGCCTGCGCCTCTTGGCGGGCGCAAGATGAGAAATATCCGTACCACAGCACAGCACTGCGTAGCGAAGAAAAAAGATCAACGACGGGCTCTCACTGGCTGCTCCGTTCGTTAATGACCAAGCTCGGCCACGAGACTCCCCCACTCGCCTCTAGGCAATCGAATTCTCTTGATGCTGGTTGGACCACACGCTTCAGTGTTTAATATAGCCAAGGCAAGGTTAGGGGTAGAGTGGTCCAGCTAGTGTATCCCAAGTCTGAGTCCCCCTCCCTTTGGGTTGGACACACCCGGCCAGTACTCCGTAGACCCAGCATCTGGCA